GATATAAATTACATTTTAATATATATTCACACAGAAAATAGTTATTTTAAATAGTAATAATATATAAATATTTAATAATATTTAAATAGTAATAATAGCATTTTTGATCAAATAAATGTAGCTTTGATGAGCATAACATACTTCTTTCAAAAACATTTAAAAAGTTTACCGACCCCAAACGTTTGAACTGTAGTGTAGAGTTTGCCCTCATTTAGGAAAACATCCATATGTGAACTGTGGGAGAAACTTTACTGTAAAAGACATTAACAGTAGATCACAGCTGGACAGTTTTAGGAATATATGTCTGAAGGTGTGTTGAGAAGCGTGTGTGTGTGTGTGTGTGTGTGAGATGGAGGCGTATATAGTCAGAGTGGCACCAGGTACAGCGAAGAAAACAGCAAAAATGTGTGTCAAGAACTTTAATTGCGGGGCCCCTAATCTGGCGTGATTCACCCGCGTCTGGGTGGCAAACAGTCTTTAAATGTGAACGAGAGGCTCATCTCTGTCTTACCGTAAAACCTCTTAGTTCTGGGTTTGTTTATTATTCTGTTTCACTGATTTTGATGATTATTTTTTGTCTGTGTCCTACTGTACATATTTAGATGGATTAGAAATATTTCTCCAAATTGAGTTCAGTAGTGTTATTTTAGTGTCATTGAGATTTTTTTTTAGTATTTTGAGTTAACTTTTATTTAGTATTTAAATGTAAAAATTTTTTTCATTTTTTAATTTACATTTTTTTTTTTAATTCATCATTTTTAGTAAGTTTGTTTTAATAATTTTTATTTATGTTTTGGGTTTTGTTATTTTAGAACATTAAAATAAGTTAAGCTAAATTAAAATGAGAAATGCTTCTTTGGCAACTTGTTTTTATTTTATTGAATTGTATTTTATTTGAACTTACAATTTTTAATGGTTTTAGTTTTAGTTAACTGTAATAATCTTGGTTAAGTACTGTCAAAACTGTTAACACAGCCATCAAAATTAAATTACATATTTTTTTCCATGCTGCACCCCTAAATGGCTTGATAATACAAAAATAAAATATATAAAAATAATACTGACATCAGAATTTAGGGTAAATTAGAGCATTCTGGGAAATGAAGTGTCATTCCATTAATTTATAAAATAATTAAAATATTGATCCTAATCAAATATGGTGACACCAGTACATACCTGTGTCATGATCATGATTCCAAGGGCCTGACGAGGAAGAGGGGGCCCGAACGCGATTTCTACCAAAGGGGAACCAAAAGAGTGAACAAATGTAGGGAATGAAGTTGTTCGGAATTCGGAAACCACTACAAAATGGTCAAGACCCGATAAAGTGCACTATATAGGGGATGAGAGTGGTTTAGACACAGCTAGTGTCTTATTATTGGCATATCCAAGGGTTTTGTAGAACTTACAAAAATGTGTGTCAAGAACTTTAATTGCGGGGCCCCTAATCTGGCGTGATTCACCCGCGTCTGGGTGGCAAACAGTCTTTAAATGTGAACGAGAGGCTCATCTCTGTCTTACCGTAAAACCTCTTAGTTCTGGGTTTGTTTATTATTCTGTTTCACTGATTTTGATGATTATTTTTTGTCTGTGTCCTACTGTACATATTTAGATGGATTAGAAATATTTCTCCAAATTGAGTTCAGTAGTGTTATTTTAGTGTCATTGAGATTTTTTTTTAGTATTTTGAGTTAACTTTTATTTAGTATTTAAATGTAAAAATTTTTTTCATTTTTTAATTTACATTTTTTTTTTTAATTCATCATTTTTAGTAAGTTTGTTTTAATAATTTTTATTTATGTTTTGGGTTTTGTTATTTTAGAACATTAAAATAAGTTAAGCTAAATTAAAATGAGAAATGCTTCTTTGGCAACTTGTTTTTATTTTATTGAATTGTATTTTATTTGAACTTACAATTTTTAATGGTTTTAGTTTTAGTTAACTGTAATAATCTTGGTTAAGTACTGTCAAAACTGTTAACACAGCCATCAAAATTAAATTACATATTTTTTTCCATGCTGCACCCCTAAATGGCTTGATAATACAAAAATAAAATATATAAAAATAATACTGACATCAGAATTTAGGGTAAATTAGAGCATTCTGGGAAATGAAGTGTCATTCCATTAATTTATAAAATAATTAAAATATTGATCCTAATCAAATATGGTGACACCAGTACATACCTGTGTCATGATCATGATTCCAAGGGCCTGACGAGGAAGAGGGGGCCCGAACGCGATTTCTACCAAAGGGGAACCAAAAGAGTGAACAAATGTAGGGAATGAAGTTGTTCACTCAGAATTCGGAAACCACTACAAAATGGTCAAGACCCGATAAAGTGCACTATATAGGGGATGAGAGTGGTTTAGACACAGCTAGTGTCTTATTATTGGCATATCCAAGGGTTTTGTAGAACTTAATGGCAGTGGTTTTACAAAAAGTGGTTTTGCTATAGAAACATGGTTTTCAAAGGAAAGGGAAGAGGAGCACAGGCTCTCCTAAATTGCAGATGTATTTTATTTACAAAAACAAAGGCAATCCAGAAGGAAAGATTCAATATAGCAGCTTCACATAGGGCCTGTTTACACCTGGTCATTTCATGCGTTTTCGCTGATCGGATATCTATCTGATTTGTCAAAACGTTTCCATTTACACTTGGCCACATAAATGTGTCGTCCTAAAGCGGATTTAAATCCGATCTTTAATTCCCGCGCTATATTTAAATTGAACGCGATGCGTGTTGCATTAGCGCAGTCTGACTAATGTCATATAGCCAACCATATGCATTTACTCTTGTCCAGTTTCGTCTGGAATGCGTCCCAGACCACCTCCTGCAGTGGGTTGAGCGATCGGATTTATATCCGTCTTGAATGTGTTTCAGAGGGCATTTACACCTGGCCTTTTCACGATCGGATAGCTCTCCGATCAGACAAAACGCATGAAGTGACCAGGTGTAAACAGGCCCATAATGTAAAGACAATATACGAAAAAGAGAAGAACCAAACTGATGGCATAAATACATGGCTAAATGAGGAGCACAACAAGACACATGTGAATGTAATGAATTAACCAATGAGTAACCATAGAAACACATAACAATTTAGCAACCGGAACAAAGGGAACAGGAACTAAACACAGAAAGAAAACACTGGAAACACAACATAAGAGTCCACAAACAGAACTATTACAGTAGCTGTTCATAACCTTTTTTATTTGATTCAATTTTTGATATTGTTTTCAGGATGCTTTTAAAAAGTTGTACTGCCCTGTAACAATTGCAGTGCATTATTGTACATTTTATTTGTGAATTGTAAAAGGTTTTGTGTTTTTGGGTCCTGTGGCTCCACACACAGACGAGGAAGGAGAATTCGGAAACCACTACAAAATGGTCAAGACCCGATAAAGTGCACTATATAGGGGATGAGAGTGGTTTAGACACAGCTAGTGTCTTATTATTGGCATATCCAAGGGTTTTGTAGAACTTAATGGCAGTGGTTTTACAAAAAGTGGTTTTGCTATAGAAACATGGTTTTCAAAGGAAAGGGAAGAGGAGCACAGGATCTCAAATGCAGCAGATGTATTTTATTTACAAAAACAAAGGCAATCCAGAAGGAAAGATTCAATATAGCAGCTTATTAAATTTATTACGAGTAAAATGGGAAATGATACCCATTTAACATTATATTTGAAAGGCATTTAACATTCAATACACCTCAATCGCAGTTTATTAGATTATATTTTTGATTACACATGGTTAAAATTGGTAACAGGGAAATCTACAAATGTCACTGTATAGTAAAACCATGGTTAATTTTCATAAGGGACTGCCAGTTGCACACATAATATGCAACCTTTTTATTCTGACAGTGTATTATTTATATTAACATTAGTTACAGAATAGAACATGATCAATATGAACTTTAATGTTCAATTTAAATAAATGTAATTGCACAAACTATAGCCTATACAGTTTCAGTTTGTTTATTGTGAAATAACACAAACATGTTATGTTTTGCTGTCTTCTGATAAGAATTGTTCAGTGCTGCGTTTCCCAAAAGCATCAATGGTTTCTTATGATACTTTTGGGAAACGCAGCCCTGTTTGAATGCAGTGGCAGCAGTGAGTGAACGCTCTCTCTGATCGATTGGTTCTGTCTTTCAGCATTTCCGTGTATTCAGATGAGCATGAAAATAGTTATTCGTCCAATTCAGTGCATATTGCTTTAAATGTCTTGTTAAATGAACAAAATCACAGGTAACACTCCAAAGAGAAAGGAAAAATTTTAATCGCATCATATGACCCCTTTAAATCATTATCTGATGACTTTCTAGCAGCTCTGTTTAAATTATTTAGAGGTGGGCAATATGACCAGAATCTTTACCATGAAATAAATATTTTTAACCAAAATCTTAACCACAGTATAAGTCATTTTCAACCACAATGCCATAACATTATAGTAATTCTGCCTGAAATCAGCGACGCTACTAACTGAAATTAAAGCCATACCCTATATTTCTCAACATTGTTGCTTAAAGGACTGCTAATTAAATTTGGAAAAGTTTAAACTCCCACCATGACAGCTTAAGACAACTGAATCATATCTTCATTGATGGTTTTTGAGAATTGTTCAAAATCACTATTGTTTTAATACCTTTTTTGCCCGCCATGTGCCCGAGCATCAGACTTTTTACAGACTTTTCACTTGTGATATCCAATCGCATTTTCATGAATACTTTTTGCAAATTGCTTACTCTCACCTGAACAAACCCAACCAACTTATACATCTCTTAACGGAACAAATACATGAATCTCTTAAAGAGGACAAAACCAAACAAAATTTAAATCTCTTAATGAAACAAATCCAACCAACATTTAATTCTCTTAACAGAACAAAACTAACCAGTATTTAAACCTCTTTATAGAAAAAAACAACAACTGACATTAAAATCTCTTAATGAAACAAAACAACCAAAATGTAAGTATCTTAATTGTCTAAGAAAGTTCAGGTATGAGTCACTGTGGCACCGATCGATATATGTGACCCTGGACCACAAAACCAGTCATAAGGGTCAATTTTTTGAAATTGAGATTTATACATCATCTGAAAGCTGAATAAATAAGCTTTCCATTGATGTATGGTTTATTAGGAATTAGGTATGGTTCATAGGACAATATTTAAATCGATAATTTTGACCCATACAATGTATTTTTGGCTATTGCTACAAATATACCCTATGACTGGTTTTGTGGTCCAGGGTCACATATGTGCTAAACAATGCTATAAACACACCATAGCTAGATGTAAAATCCAGACGATCACTTGTATCATAGTTTTATATCGTCAAACTGCCCAACCCTAAAACATAGGACATTATAGACATAACAGTATGACTTTCTATAAAGCTGCTTTGAAATGGTGTGTATTGTGAAATAACTATACAAATTATGCAAATAAATTTGACTTGCACTGAATTCGGCTATAATTATTTATGAATATTTCAGAATTTTATTTAAAAACACAAAATGAATCCCATTTATACAATATGTCAAGCCCTCAACCAGCAAGGAAAACAATTACCCCTGACAATAATTTAAAAGCAGCATAATTTCCTCAGACTTAGTAACTCTAAGCAATATTTGCTTGACATTACAAAACTTTCATTTACAGTTTTTTACAAAAATAAGCTTTTCCCTCATTCATTCCCTCACTACGCTGTGTCTACGCCGTGCGTGGAGAGACAGATGTGGCGTTTTCATGGGAGAACTGAAATGTGTGTTTAATTTCATCTGAAATGATACTGTTTCCGATTTTGGCGATTACAGCATACAAGGTCTGAGCACAATAAAGCAGTGAGCAGCGTTTAGTGGTTCTGACCGAGACTCTGGTTTCCCCCCGTGTTTTGCTGTTGTCTGACCACTCAGCCATGACCCAGCCCTCCGTCTCCCCGCTGGCTGTCCTGCCCAGAGAGCAAGGGGGCACAAACCTCGCAATTTGTCTTCCACTGGCTCACAGTTGCACTAATGAGTCAGACCTGCGAAACCCCAAACCATTGAGGGGGGTGAAATAAGGACGTCACCGCATTTGGCTCAGTATAAGTGAGCGTGGGAGAGAGAATTTTTAGATTATGAGTTGAGTTAGGGTGCACACACACGAGCAGAGGGCAAAGTGCCTTTTAAAAGCAACTTCCAGGGAAAAAACAACACATTTGTAGTGAAAGCGAGAGCTCAGGTTTCTGGACGAAAATGACAGGGTGAACGGAACAATCGTGTCCCCGCGTCTGACTCGTTCACGTCCTCTTCCACCCTCTCCCGTCGCTCCCAGAAAGGTCTGGAAAGCGGGAAATATCGCCAGACAGTTGGAAAACTGATTTTGTGGGGTAACGGGATCACCATGCCACATCACAATTCAGACATGTCAAAGGATAGACACACTTCTCTTAAAGTCTTACAGAGCTGACATCACAAGCTTAGAGAGCTTGAAATATAGGACGCTGACAGGGAGAAGAGGATGAGTGATTACGCTAATGATAAAAATAAATGGTGTGCGTTAGAAGACGCAGGCTGAGATACCCCATTTGTAGAGACACCCAGAGACATACAGTCTGGCCCCTAATGCTCCCAATGATGAGGGAGATGTGCGGCTTGAAGCCAAAGCCATGTGTAACAGTACATTTTAGGCTGCCGGCTTTGCGGTGGGGGCTCCTCTCGTGCTCATGACATCACTTTCCCTGCTGCCTGCGCGCACGCTCTGGCAAATATAATAAAATTATACGTCTGGTTTATAGGGCAAACATGTTGTTATTCAGTGCGGCGTGTTATTTCGCCCTATTCGAGAGATGTACGACCAGACGTGCGCTTTCGTGGGAGCTGGCACTGAAAGTTCAGTTGAGAAAATGAGGGTAGGGGTCATTTAGAGTGAAATAAAACGCTCTCTTCCCCGTCCTAGATGGTGGCCGCTGCTCACATGTGGGCAGCCTCATTATCATGAGGTGAATTACAGTAAAACATTACCAATCTCTAGCCTGTAATGAGCTTTACAGATGTGGCTCAAACTTGTGGTCTTGTTTCCCTACTGAGCATTCATTTCGAAAGCTCATTTTACCTGGTTAACATGCTCCTCGGGCTCAGGGAGGTATGAGAGAACCCCTTAAAAACTACATGTATTGCGTTAGAGAAATATGGACTCTGAGTAATGCAGCTATGTTGCTTTCAATACCATTGCACTTAAAAGTTTGTCTGAAATAAGTGATAGTCAAGTCAAGTCACCTTTATTTGTATAGCGCTTTATACAATACTGGTTGTGTCAAAGCAGCTTTAGGCCTTTAATTAACTTTAAAGTGTTCAAATGCAAAGCTAGCGGGTCCACGTACAGTGCAAATTTTGTCACCAGAATAGTACGCTTACACACACCACCCGATATTTGTAACCGTGTGTACTTTATAAGCACAGGTCACACATGTGCATTGAATTTGTCTTACACTAATCAATTGTTCCACAAGGTGGCAACACTGGCCAGAACCGTAGGATCAACAACAACAAAATACCAGAGACTGCAACAACAGACACCTGCATTGACAAGCGCTTGTTTGAGAGGATTATCAGATACAGTGGGTATAGAAAAAGATCACTCCCCTTTACAATAATCACATTTTGTTGCTTTGCAGCCTGAAATGAAGACGGACGCAGTTTTTGTTTTATCCAGCTGTATTTACTCAGTGCAACTTATAACATCCTAAACCACTCCCTGGATCGTCATTTCATTCGGTAAGGTTAGGCAGTTTTGATTTATATGCTGTTTAATGTCTGATGATTGCCTTATTTTACATTTGCATCTGCTGTGATTTGATCCAGAGATTCAGTACTCTTTCAGAAGATGTTTAATAGCGCCTCCTACTGTATAACAGTGCAAACACAGAAAGCTGGAAAATTCTGTCAATGGTGGGGAAAGAGTTAAGCTGCTGTTGTTTGCACATTACATGATGGACTGGCAACTCAGATTATGTCTTTGATAATTCACACTATGTGATTGAGCACCAATTTGCCTCAGATTTTGGGCTTTTGTCAGCAGCCTCCAGAAAACGGTGAAAATCGGGCCTTCAATTGGGTCGTGCATACCTGACATTAGCTCCCAAGATCCTGGGAACCTGGGGAAACCTCAGTCGATGACTGAAAAGTCTGTACATACCAAGCAAGCACCATATGTACGTCTCAAACTAATCATAGAATATCCAAACATTTAAGCAGAATGTATTTTGGCTCCACTACTGTAACTTTGTGGCACTTAATCTGTGATCTTCGTCCTTAGTCCTCCTGGAAACGGGGTCCAAGACACATTGGTAAAATACTAAGAATCATTAAAAATGAAGAATTCATTAAATAAAATGATAATTTTCAGTTTTTGGCTGCTACAGTCAACTGCTCAGATCCGAATGTCCATTAACATCAAACTTATCCAACTATTCATTGACTCTGGTGGCAGTCCAGCTTAAATGGTACGTGCATTAGGATGGACCCGCATCATCTGGGTTATAATATGTCATATTTGGTGGACTGAGAAGGATAACCAAGATAATGGGATTCAACTGAGGACAATCTCGACCTTGGATTGCAGACTTACGGAAATCATCCAGATCCATCTGCTTGTAGATCCAGAGGCCAGAGCTGCTCTTAGAGAGTGGGGCTCTTCCAAATCCACACCAATTTTTCAAATTTACTGACAAAGGATGTATCCCAAAATGCATTACTGAGGGAATCAAAGGTAAAATTTTAAGAACTGGCTATTGAAAAACACATAATCATCTATCACTAAATTTGTGTGGTAGTTACCAAGGAGTCATGGTTTGGCTGGTTGTAATGGTCCAGTTGAAGGTAGATGGGATGTGGGACTGCATCAGCCAAGCAGCTGCCATTGAGATAAATGGGAATATTAGCGGATAGCTTTCTCCAGGAATTATAAACCTCCTTGGTGGTTACAGTCCTCATCTGAATCACTTGATTCTGAACTGAATCTTTGATCCCTTTTACTTGTTTCTTGATTCACAATCATTATCTAAGTACCTTGCATTTTGCTACATTTCAAGTGTTTTTACACATAGTTGTTTTGCATTAGGGTTCATATTGATTTTTTTAACCTTTACTTTGGTTATCTCAATTCCTGTGTAGTTTCCACTCTTTAGAAAGGACTTTGTTATATGTTTATAGGCACATATGGTTGGTCACACCCTTCCTATATTACATTAGTAAAGATGTCAGTAATCATCTCTCGACATATGAAATGCATTAAATGGCTTTTCACTTTTTTTTTTGAATATGTTTATAGGCACATATGGTTGGTCACACCCTTCCTATATTACATTAGTAAAGATGTCAGTAATCATCTCTCGACATATGAAATGCATTAAATGGCTTTTCACTTTTTTTTTTGAGTTAAAATGGCTTAAACAACTGCTCCCTGTTAAGAATGTATTACATAACAGTTCAAGTTTTTATGACACTTCTATAAATAAAGCAAAAATAAAAAAGAATATGCTCTGGTAAAACCATCAGTGGTCTCATAAACAACACACCCTTTGAACGCCCTGTGAATCTTGCTCTGAACGTCACAGCCCATAGAACCTGGCAAAGACGGCCTATCAAAAATCCATGACAAATACAAGAACAGTCTGTCTGTAATGCAATGCCGTGTGTCAACCACTGGATGGATTCAGACTGCTGGAATGCGATCTAGAATGTCTACAACTATTGGCCAGATCACTCATGCTATTAGTCAGGCATTACATGATTGGCTAAATTCGTTATACCAGCAGCACTTTGTATTTTTAACTCACTCAAAGTGACATTTCACAAATCTCCATGTGGTGTATCCTACAGTCTAATCTTTCACTGTTTTTTACTAGTCGAGTCAAATCACATTCATTTATACAGCACTTTATACAATACAGACTGTTTCAAAGCAGCTTCACATTAATAAGCAGGAAAATAACAGTGGCAGGGCCAGATTTACTAAAAGCTTGCACCAGCGCAAACCCTCTTTTGGCGTCAAAAACCAACTGTCAGGATTTACTAAAGACACACAGTGAAAAATTAGCTTAAAACTCAATTATTATTGCAGCTGACCTTATTGCATGTGTATTTGTAGGAGTAACTGGTATCTGCGCCATACTTTACCACTCAAGATAAAGCATGCCGTAACACATTTTGCACTTGACATGGCTGTGATAGTTGCTAATTTGTGCTGCTCTTGGTAGATTACGTCTTTATGGAAAATAGTCTTTAATATACGCATTGTCAGTACATCCCCAATTTTCCAGTGCCAGTCCTCCCTATATGCAAAGGGTTTATGGGGCCTCTGAACCACCAGGGGATGATTTAATGACTGTGCCATTAATAGAATTTTTGTTTTTGATTTTGGCTTCCAACGATTATGAAAACAATGTCACATTCTGTTTCTTTCCTTTAAAGCAGAGCGCTGTTGCCCTTCCTATACATAACACCCAAATCAGTCAAATCACGTGACAAGACTGTTGTAATATATACAGATGAGCCATTACATTATGACCACCAATCTAATAACCTTTTGGAACTCCTTTAGCCCACAAAACAGCGGTCACATAGCGAGGCATTGATTTGACGAGGTGGCGATAGGTCTCCTGGGGTATTTAGTACCCTAATTTCAACAGGCAGGTCATCCAGTTCCTGTACAATGCGGGGTGGTGGTGATGTAGCGCAAACCCGCTGTTCGATTGGGTTCATGTCAGGTGAATTTTGGAGGCCAAGGCATTAAAAGAAAATCACCCTCATGTTCCTTGAACCACTCCTTGACGATTCTGGCAGTGTGGCATGGTGCATTATCCTGTTGGTAATGGCCATCACTGGCAGGGAACACAGTTGCCATGATTAGGTGCACTTGGTCCTCAACGATGTTCAGATACCTCATTGCTCCAGACTGGGGGTTGTCATAATGTATGACTCATCAGTGTTTGAGGTTTTTATGAATGCACTGGCAGGGGTCCCCGACAAAGTTTTGCGTAGGGCCCCCTTTGCTTAGGAGTTTTATGGGATTGTGGTCTCAGTTTTATTAGTCCAGTTTAGTAAATATGGCCCTCAATTCATCAGTTATGAAACAAATTCAACTTTAGTTATACGCAACTTCATAGTAGTGTCATTATTCAGTGCAGTTTAGTTCAATGCTGATTCAAATCAGTTCAATAACAGTGTCGATGTTGCAAAGTTAGTGTCATTATTCAGCTCAATTCAGTTCAAATTCTGTTCTCGTCCAATAGTGTCAGTGCGGCTAAATCAATAGTATTACTGAAGGAGCCATAGGCGACAGTGGCAAGGAGCCAAAACTCCATCAGCTGACAGTAATCAATGGAAACACATTGTGGTGAAAGTCAAGGTAGAATTACAGAGCGCACCGTTCCCATTGTGTAAATTGAGGCTATAAAAAAGCTCACCGCATGACTCCACCTTACATTGGCAGCGAGATCAGAAGAATATTTGTGTGGAGGTGCGAGGGGTGTGATCTTACACCGCCGTTTGTTTAGCTTAAAAATGCACGATGGAAAGGGAAAATAGTGCATGTGAGATACAAAAAAGGAGTGTAAAAGAAAACAAGGGGAGTTAAATAGATGGCTGTTTAGCTGAATGTGTGCACCACATCAAAGCGTCACTGAATTTGCTTGTGTGGCACTGGCTTTGTACTATACCACAGACCTTAAATGGGGAAGGCCATCTATAGCATCTCTGAACACAGTGCAGGCACCGACTCATGATAGCACAGATTGTAGAAAAATATGTGTTTTGGAGGAGTGCCCACTGTTAAAGTACCTCCTTTAGGCACTAATGTAGACATTTGGGGACTTCTACCATCTTATTGTGTCTGGAACAGACACACAGAGGGACTGTCTTCCATGAATTTCACTCTAGCATATTGAGAAACAAAGGGGCTGTACTGAGGCCAGTGGTGTGTATTAGCTGATGTGTTTGGAAGCCAGGACTTATTTTATTAGAGCTGTCATATTAGGCATTCCACTTTTGTCTCATTCATTGTAATTGGTCCATTGGCCTATCTCATATATACAGTCCATGCAGACACTCATATAGTCATAGACACTCATGAGTGCAAACTCACTAATGCCACTCATCAACATTCTTAAACTGCAAAAACAAACCAACAAACTCTTTATTTTACCTGAGTAGTCATATTGGCCGTTTCAATTTCTCCCATTCCTTGTAATAGCCTACCATTGGTGTATCTCAACTATATAAAGTTTCTGGTGCTACTTGTATAGGTTTCCATTCAATTATGATGTATTTGTCCCAAAATGTTAACATTTCAGATTGTATTGTTGCACCATTTTTTTAAAAACCTTTTTTTCAATTACCAACAGTGACACTCAGTGTTCTTGAATTGCAAAAGAGGTTACACTTTGCATAAAGCCTTTATGAAAGTAGTTCTAATGCATTAATTATGCCCTGTAATGCACATTATAATGCACTGTATGATCAAATGAATAATTGTAACCACAGTTGTAATACATTACAATACTTATCTATTCATTGTTACACCTTTAGAAAGTATAATGCATTAAAACCATAGACTGTATAAAAACATGTGTCCGTGTAGTGTCCGTGACGTCACCCGTAGATTTCCGAAGAGCGTTTTTGAAGCTCAAAAGTGGGCGGAGGCGGCCGTCACCATCTTGGCAGCGCATCACCGCGCGTCACTCCCGGATAATCGAAAATGGGCAAAGAGGCGGGAGCAGGTTGCTGAAGCCATGCCCACCTAGCTCGACGGTGGTGACAGCAGCGGCAATCCACCTGTCACTCAAGTGGCCACGCCCTTAATTATGCAGAACTTTAAGGCTTAATATAATTTAAACGGATGAGTTATAAAAAAAATTCACCCCCCTCACAGTTGTCATGAAGGGCAAAATTAGCTATATAGACCAAAATAATTTTTTGAACCAGGCTGTAAACATGTTTTTTTCTGCTGTAAAGTTGGGCATTTTAACATGGGGAGTCTATGGGATTGACTCCTTTTTGCAGCCAGCCTCTAGCGGCCAGTTGATGAATTACAGTTTAAGTCACTTCCTTGTTGGCTTCACAAGAGAGAGGTGGAGGTTGCCGCTTGATTAAAACACATGACAAACAAACCTTCAAATATTATAATGCATTTAACTTTGGTTACAATTATTTATGAAAAGATATCATGGGTTACAATGTACATTATGAATAGCTTTATAATGCTTTATAAAGTGTTACCCTTAACTATTAATAAATTACTGTTATTGACTTATACAAAAAGTGCAATCGACATTTATGGTATTCTATTTTTATATAGTCAGCATAAATATGGTGAAAAGTGAGTTTTATCGATTTGATCCATCTTATTCCTCTGTTGTCACATTTGCTGGTTTTGCATTTGAGAAACACTGCCGCATAGCGGTGAACTTCAGAATAGCAGTGTATCAAGTACTGAAATGAGCAAAATAATGATGTGGTACCATTTGAAATATAATTAGGGGCCAAGCACTGAAGGTGCGTAGACACCTATTGTGTCCATTGGCGTTCTTCTTCTTCTTCTTCTTGCGCTCTGGGAGTCTATGGCAGCCCATAGAACCGTTAGCGGGAAAGTTATGAAATTTGGCACACAGATAGAGGACTGTCTGAACTGTCACCATAGCAAATTTGGAGTCTCTAACCCAGTCCCTCTAGCACCACCAACTGTTGAAATTTGCACTTATGTTTATACTAATAAATTTTTTTAACCATAAGGGCTAGAAACAAAATTCTTTTTTTTTTTAAATTTTCCAAAAAACATACTTTTTCAAACTCCTCCAAGGCCATTGCTCCGATTTTCACGAAAATTGAACCAGGTCATCTTCAGACCATGCCGACAAAAAGTTATTGAATTCAAGTCAGTTTGTCAAACAGTTCTTGAATAACACGTGAACGAGTTGAACATGAGGCTATATCTTCGCAACACTTTAGCGTATTCTGAAAAAGAAAGCGAGCCAAGAGTGGAGCACTATGATGGGAAGCACATCACACAAACACAAAGCGGTCTCTGAAGAAAAAGAAACCTGAAGGTGCGTCTGATTCATGTCTATTTATAACCTCTCAATTGCATGCATTCCAGTGATGTCACTGACTGAGGTTATTTAAGCCAAATTTTTGGCGTGTTTGACACACATGCGCCACAACCGGTCGAACAAAAATGTTCTCATCAGTGTTAATGAAACGCAGAATCGAGTGTAGCTTTTGACAGGGAACAGGTAGGACCTAATCTTTCTTCTGCATGTCATGTGTGGGGCTCTGTTCTCAATTCAGATTCAAGATTGAGCCCAAATGCTTCAGTCCATGACAAGAACTCGGACTATAGCACTGGCACCGACTGTACCAAGCATACATTTTTCTAGTTGCGACATGGCATGGTGCTTCTCATCCGGTGTGTGAAACCTTTAGTCAACAAATTAACTATAAACAGTGCCAACAGTCAAATGCGCTATGAACCTCAAAGAGCACCAGAAATGAAACCATAATTTCAAGAGATTTGAAGTTCATTTAGATTCAGACATGAGCAAAAGTGGTGATGCCTGAGTTGTTGAACAGTGTTATTTTAGAAAAAGGAGTGTTTTACACACTATTTCTCATCATAATTAATAATATTTGTTTTGTTATATTTAGTACTGTTGATTATTATTGTGAGGAGTCACTGCCTCCGTCCCGCCTGCGGATGTGGGCATTACATTAAAAGTAATGTGTTCAATAATTTGATCATGCTTTGAAATCTTAATAGTGTGAAATCTGAATGTGATCCATATTCAAAATAAGCAGCAATGGGCAGCATGTGTTGTGATTGGAGAGAGAAGTGTTTACCCATGTGCTGGATCGCAGTTAATACAAGCAAGAGGTTTTCTCTGGCAGGAATGGCCCCACGCAGCCCAAATAAAGTGGCGGATGATTTAAAAAAAGAAAAAGAAAAAGGTTGAGTAAGTTTCTATCACCCTGAGCGCTCCAGCTGCCTGGCCCCCAAACACCGAATGAAAACATGAGCGCCCTCACGGGGCTCTGAGTCAATACTGCCTCCTTCCGCTGGCGGACGCTTGCAGCTGCTTTTGTAATCACAGGAAAACCTATCAGCAGAGCTCTCGATGAACCAATAGTCACAAACGCATACACACAGTCACTCCTGTAAATGCACAATACATCAGTGTTGGAGACTAACTAACTAAAGGTAGAGACGCTAACTGAGTCACATTTTTCAGCAGTGTGACAGTAGCACAGCCGTTTAACTCATTTTTCCAAGTGAGCGATGTGAGGCATAATCAAACATTGAGGCATAATCAAACACACTTCAGTCAATGTCTAGACTGTGTTGTTCTCAAATAGGGTTGGGAAGTCTGATTAATTTTTAGTAAGTAGATTTGTTTGGATGGTTCATTTTAGTTGAATAGGTTCAAAGAACCAATTCATTCGAATCATCACTACAGCAGTGTTTCTGGAAATCCTTGTGTCATAAATGCCTTGTTTGTAGCATAAATAATTTGACCTTTTACTGCATTTTGTTATTCTTCTGGTTATATATATAGAGGCTAATGAATCTCTTATGGAAGCCCGCTTCCATCACTGAATAAAAAAAGGTAATTGCTAATTTTTATCTAGCAATTCTGACTTTTTCTCGCAAGTGTGGACTTGAACTTGAAAAATGGTGTGTATTCAGTTATAACCTGTGTTGAACATACCTTCTGATGTTCATTCATGTTTATTTTGTGCCATAACTAGTAAAGAGGAAGAGATGATCGGTTCACGTGCCGCTTGTTTTTATTGTTTGAATTTCTTAAAAAATGACTAAATTTGAAAGCTGAGGCTTTGTCATTTCAAAAGTAACCTGCTCTTGTCTGTTGGCGTGTTGTCAGTTTCCTCTTTGCTCTGCAATGTATTTTTCACTGCATGAGAACATGATGTGTGGTGTGAGAGCGCCATGGCTTGTCTGATGTAGCAACAGTAACTAAGGGAGGCAGGTCTTTGCGAAGGGTCAATTGCAAGTTTATATCTCGCAATTCTGACTTTTTGTGAGATATAAACTCGCAACTGCGAGTTATAAAGTCAATTCTGTGGAAAAAAATACTGACTGTTTGCTTACAATTATTAGTTTATATCTCACAATTCTGACTTTATAACTCGCAATTGCGACATTATATCATGCAATTCTGACTTCATAACTCGAAATTGTGACTTTATATCATGCAATTCTGACTTTATGATGTAAACTTGCAATTGCGAGAATAAAAGTCACAATTGAGGTTTTTTTTTTTTAGTGGCGGATAACACCACTGGTTAACTTAAATGTATTTAACTTTTTTCCCCCATAAATTGTATATTAAAAGTAGGGTAGGCGATTTTGGAGAGGTTAGCAATAGCAAACTAGCTTTGAAAACAATATCCCCACCCTCGCTGCAAATCACTCTCCAAAGCCACACCTCCTCCAAAACACATGAACACGCGCAGGCAGACCAGAGAGGCTAACCAGCGACACAATGAGAGACGGATAATATTACAATAATAGCATCTTCCATTCTCGCTCGGTCTGCAGTAGCGTAATAGAAAGCGCTGATGGCACATCATGTCTACGCGAACAGGGTGCACAGAGGTATGCAAATACATACGTTGACAGGCAGGTAGGACAGCCAATGGTAGCCCTCGAACCGAAGAATATGATTGGATGAACATTTTATGGTCCTATGCCTTCCAAAGACAATATAAATACATATTACTAAGACCGCTTAACTTAGTGATTGCTATCGGGATGTGAAGATACTTTCAACCATCGTAACAAAACATTTTTTTTTAAAAACCAAATCACCTACCCTTCCTTTAACTAGTTAAAAAAATGTAGTTCGTAGTATGACAGGTTACAGTTTCAAAGCAGTTTCCCTAAAAATAATTATTCTACATGACTTACTGGCAATGTAGACAAATAATCAGACTGCTGGACAACTACATCCACGTAGACTAATATGAGTCATCTGGTTACGTGTGCTCACAAATTCCCCAAACTCTCACGATGACACGCACACTGCTGTTTATACTTTCATTATTTAAAGCAGAATATTCCCCATCTCCCAGTAAAATTCAGAAGCACTGACACAGTGAGTGATTCACAAAACTGCAATGATATCATTGAGTCTGAAAATGGCAGTATGACTAATCTTCACAGACACCGGTGCCATTGTGTGTGACATCATCACTGTAAGAGCAGGCTGATCTGCTGCAAGGTATTCACATCTTAATTCCAAAATTGTATACCATGTGTTGGCCGTCTCAAAGAAGGATGAGTGTTCGTTCTCTTGGCAAGTGCGGATGTTTTCCAGATAAAAACTCACATAAACACAAAAAGGAGTGAGGGAAGAAAAATAGACAGACAGACAGACAGACAGACACACAGACAGACAGAACATGAGTCATTTAGTCGTGACATTACCACATATGAAATATATGTGCTATGACTAGTGAAATAGACTGGTCTCAAG